CGCTGGGCGGAAGCCATATTCCACACGAGGGTCAATGACCGACCGTGGATGGGCGCGCCTTAGGGCTGCCCTATGAGCAGCTTCAAGCTGCCGCCTTTGAGCCCCATCGAGGTCATTGGTGATTCACCACGTTCCTCGGTTGACGAGAGGTCAGGGAACGGACATGGGATCCGCAAGGCGCGAGCAGGGCTTGTATCACGCTGCTGGCGCAGCTCGCCTTCCTCGTCATTCCATGCGGGAATAGGAGTGTCAGACTTGTAGTCGACCACCCCTACATTCTCAACGAGGTCACTCGGTATTGATAGCGTGCGCAAAGCGCGACGCTCGTGCTCATCGAGCCTAGGATGTACATCCCCCGGTGCCGTGAACGCACTGTCCGACATCGCACCGCTTGCGGGAGACGAATTTGGGCTCTGCCCGTGTTCGCTGTCAGAACCAGCGAGACTTGGTGATTTTCGTTTCGTGGACACAGGGCTAATTGAGCAAGGAAGTTGTTAAATTCCAAAAAATTGAGTTGCAGTGTCTAACGGACACGCGAGCTTCGTTAAGGCAATAATCGATTAGAATTGTAAATGTTCTCAAATTTAAATGGGGGAGGGTGTAACGGGGTTACACGAACAGGAATACGGTACGGGACTAGGTGGCCAGTAGTTATGCATGTATTTATATTTTACTATATACATTTAGTGTACCTAGGAAAATCTGATCTAAATTATGGCGGCTTTGCCACAAATAGAAATAAATAAAAATCAGTTTGGCTTTTAAACGGAAGAGCTCATTCGCCTTTGGGTAAGTCAATAATAACTCTTGGAGTAAGCGGACTGCGATCCGCTACCTCATACTTGGTTCTTGTAGAGAACGAAAGGTTGGTGACCTAAGGAACACTTCCACAAGCGCTAAGCTACGGCAGCCCCGCTGCACAATATATGTTTGATAATAGAAATACGAAATTCTGTTTATCATATCCAGTACATCGGTACCTTTGAATTTTGCATAATCGCAGCTATTACACGGTACCTACAGACGTGCGTTCGTTAACGCGGACTCAATAAGTCCAGGATTCGTGTCAGGTGCACGGCTATCGTTTTCTCCTAGCCGCATCCCGCATATCTTATTGTACCTTGGATTTTCTACTTGTCGTTACCTCTTTTTTTCTACGCTCACTTTTATGCATCATCGTGATTTCCGTAAATTTAGTCCATAAGACCAGCTCTTCAGATCATCCAATCAATGTCCGACATTAAGAGTTACAACCATGCTCACCACCTGCCTTAAGTCAGCTCTGCGTCGTTTGCCTCGCTCTCTCTCTACAACACCCGCAAAAGCTTTACTATCGACAACAAATACTCAATGGAACACTCACCAGAGTTCGTTCTTTTCGTGGAAGCTTGGAGCGATTGGAGCGTCTGCTGCGGGTTTAGCACTATGCACTGCTGTATGCGAACAGCCAGTTGAGCAAGACGAAACTTCGGTACTTCCTGGCGAAGTGCGCTCCGATTTGCCGATTTTTACATTTGATGAAGTGCAAAAACATACGGGGGCCGCGAAAAATGGTACGTGGGTCGTTTATAAACACGGTGTCTACGATATTACAAAGTTCATTGCGTCGCATCCTGGTGGTACCAAGATTTTGTTGGCTGCTGGTCGCTCTATTGAGCCATTTTGGCAATTGTATGCTGCCCATAACCATGCAGACGTGCACAAGATTTTGGAGACATTACGAATTGGTAATTTGAGAGAAGAAGATGTGAAGATGCTGGAAAAGTTAAGAAAAGAGAGATACGGCGAAGGGCCTTACAGTCGAGATCCGTCTCGTCATCCGGCACTTAAAGTGAATTCTAGTATGCCATTTAATGCAGAACCACCAGCAGAGCTGCTCATGCAGTCCTTCATCACCCCGAACGATCTTTTTTTCGTGCGTAACCATTTACCAGTGCCAGAAGTGGACATTAAGAAGTATACATTGAAGATTTCAGGGCTGGGATTAAAGACGAAACAGGAAGTAGAATTTACACTTGATGACTTGAAAAGGAAATTCAAGCAACATACAGTGACTTCAACAATCCAGTGTGCAGGAAATCGACGTGCTGAGATGTCAAACGTGAAACAAGTAAATGGCTTAAGCTGGGATACGACTGCGTTATCGACCGCAAATTGGACAGGTGTGCTGCTTTCAGATGTATTGGCGAGTATTGGTATTACAGATGAGTATTTACGACGAGCAGAGTGTGAGTGCGATGAACAAAACAGCATGGAGTCGTGTGACAATTGCATCACCGTCATCCAGCACGTTCAGTTTGAAGGGTTGGACGCTGATACGGAAGGCAACTCGTATGGTGCATCGATCCCTGCTGCAACGGCATTGGACCCCAGAAAAGATGTTTTGCTTGCGTTTGAAATGAATGGAGAGGTGATTCCGCGTGATCATGGCTATCCATTGCGTGCCATCGTGCCGGGAACTGTAGGCGCTCGTAATGTAAAATTTCTGCACCGTATCATACTTTCAAGCGAGGAAAGTCCAAGCTTCTGGCAACAGCGCGACTACAAAGGATTTCCACCTAACGTTGACTACACCAGGGAGGACTACTGGAAGTTTGCTAGCGATTCCATTCAGGAGCTACCCGTTCAGTCTGCCATCACAGAGCCGAAAAACGGGTCCTCTTTCGTGGTGGATGACGCATCGGATAGCTCGATTGTGACTATCAAAGGCTATGCATGGAGTGGGGGGGGCCGCAATATTATTCGTGTTGATATTTCAATTGATGGTGGTAAGACATGGGTACCTGCTGACTTGCACGAGTTAGGCAAGCGTCAAAAGTACAATCGCGCTTGGGCTTGGACTCCGTGGGAGCTTGACGTGGAAGTACCTCCAGGTACTTCGAATTTGGATATCATGTGTAAGGCAATTGATGCTTCCTACAACGTTCAGCCCGATACCATTGCTCCCATTTGGAACATGCGTGGTGTGTTAAACAACGCTTGGCATCGAGTGCATGTTGAGGTGAAACAATCCGATGAAGAAGATGAATCGTAAGTTGTTTGCTGTGTTTAAATTTTTGAAAAGATTTTGTAATTCTTTGTGAAAAATTGATGTGGAGAGTGTACGAAGCATGTGTACCACGCAAATGTTCAATAGTGATATCTATATTGGGTTTATTGCAAAAGGTGATACAAATAGAAAATATTTCGCGAGATGTGATACAATTGCGTCTTAAACACTAAAAATACGAGACCTGGTAAAATTACCGAGTGTAGCCATTATTGGTTCACCATTACATTGAAGGCGTGTGCCAGGAACTCAAGCAGAAGAGATGGGGACTAACGGCAAGAAGGCTGTGCGAGCAATCAAAGATGTTGCACTAGCACCAGGGAGGTGTGCAATCTTCATCAACAGAGGGGGGACGTCTCGTTTATTACAGTGTGACAGTGCAACTATTGGTTGTATAGTTGAATTTACAAGATTAACTGGATGAGGTTATTAGAAATGTTGGGATCAAGAAATGACAAATGCCTCGCTGTTACCAATTTTAATGTATCGCACGTCTGCTGTCGTACGAATTGGAAATCATCAAATAAATCTAGCGCTTTGACTGCAGTCGTTTAATCAAATGCTGGAGTTTGTGCAACTTGATGATCGGACTGTAGCTGGTCTATTGTTCGTGTCCCACAAATTAGGACAAACATATGCGTCAAAGTTTCGAAAGGAAGTTTATACGACCTATCGACGATTTCAACACCATTTGCAACACTTGATAGTCGGAATTACTTGCTGGCAATATCATATCAATATTTTTATATAGTCACCCCATTTCTATAAATCGTCAAAAAGATCATCGCCAGTTATCGGAGCTGGATTGTCATCTTGCTGAATATCTTTTAATATATTGTACAATAGTGCTAGTGATGCGGCCCGTTGAGACGAGTCACTCTTCCAATTTCCATCTTTACTAGATCCAAGCTTACCAAATAGCTCCAACACAGCTCCATCAGGCATTTTCAAAAAGTGACGATGCAATTGCCGCGTGCCGTCAACTTCCACATTGTACACTGCGACATGCGTATTGGTTTCACGTGAAAGAGGATCACGTGGATCAGACAACGCATATTCACGAACGAATACCCTGCGCTGTGAGCCGTGTGGACCTTTCCAACGTGTTGCCTGAGCACAGACTGCTTGTAGCTCTTCTAGTGAGATCTCAGCGTCATGTGGTACAAAAAAGGCTTCTTCTCGACCGTGCACACGTTGGTAGACATCCAGCATCCGCCCGTTCATATGAATATAGAGAAGGTAATGATAAAATACCAATAGTGACAGACACGTGAGCGCCAGATAGAGAATAAGAGTGATAAAAGTACCAACGAGCCCACTTCCTTCTTGTGTTTGTAAGCGCACGTACAGTTTAAACCAGTCACCAGTCACACACGTGCATTTAGATGCTGTAAGTGATACTGAACATTCGCTCACTTTTGAGCACCCGTAGTGATGTGAGAGCACATCAACCAAAAGAATTAAAAATGGATCGAGCACGGTGGCGATGCCAGTACAGACGATAATATTTGAGCCAAAAGCTGGCAAATCGCCGATAAATCGCTGACATAGTGCAGCGAAACCACACAGAAAAGTGAAGATAAGCAAGTTGCCAAAAACACCAATGAACAAAAGACCAATTTCAGTGTGTGTCGCTACGGATTGCCACGTATATTTGACATAACACGTTGTCCATCTTGGTTGGAAATCATATACAGAAATTCGATTGCTTCGTAAGAAGAACCACTGAGTAATATAATGCACGTATACACGTATCCAGCATGCAAAGAATAACATGGCAACATAGCGCCAAAATTCGATCGTAAGCCACTTTGAAACTTCCAGATCTACAAGCAATTCGTGGCGCAAGTAATGTAATTTGTGCTGCGTATGGTATCGTTGATGATGCGATGTCTCAATCACCGCCGTGGTATTCACAGAATACGTGTAATTTTCCACATCAAGCTGCTGCTTGTGCTCGATACTTACTGATTCTTTGTGTTGAGATATATCAAAGTCTTCACCGATGCTTGTTAACTGATCCGATAGATTAAAAAGCTTGCCTTTCTGATTTTCCGAGACTGATTCAGAGTTAATAGTACCATCAAAGGTCATTGCTTTATGAGAAGGACTGCGATTTTGCAGTGTTGTAATCATGTCACCGGACTATCAAATTAATCACATCGGATTTGTTAGCATGTATTTGATCAAAGAAATTAACAAAAGCATTTTTACTTACGTGAACTCGTGTCTTTTTCGTTGGGCTAAATCGTGCAAGCCACCGCTTCCACCGCCACCGCGGAAAATGCGAGCTACCTCGTGGTGAGTTTGGTTTAGATTTTTTGGGGTAAGTTATAATCGTGTCCTCATCTTCTGAGGTTGTGATAGCCACAAGAGGCTTAACACCGGCCGCACTTTTTTGACATGTTTTGTGTTGTTCTTCATCTCGTATTGAGTCAGAGCCACCAGTATTTACTACCGATCGCTTTCGCATTGTTGAGTGGTTTGACATGGTAGAAGACTTGCGCAAGGTGTTGTTTTCAGCTTCTGGTACTAACAATCGCAGGCTATGTTCTTCAATTTCGACATCAAATGCTTCATCTCCATTAATTTTACTTTGTGTAGTTTTGTGAGATGAAACAATTGATGGGCATGGAAGGTGATCCACTTGAAAATAAAAGTTACACAACCACGACGACAAGTTATTTTGATATATTTTTTCCATATCGCGAAATTTTTCTATCGTATCATCCACTTCACCTCGCAATAATGGAAGCTTGAATTTACCTTGAACGACTCGGAACTCCGGGGTGGTAAGTGGCAATGCTCCCCAAGCAACAACGTGATCCGCTGGGTCAGCAAGCTGACCGACTTTACGTCTGTTTTGAGGCATCGACTGGGCATACGCGGCAAATGTTGCTTGAGAAAGCTGATAGAGCTCAAACACTAAGGTATTTGTAGGTCGTAACTCGATTTGCGGTGGACATACGACAAACATATCCTGATTTACTGTCAATTCGGAATGATAGAATCGACCACCATGACGAAATGGCCGCGTGAAGTTTGGACGACTAATGTTCGCATGTGAAGTAGCACCACCTAGTACTTCAGAATCCCACCTTGTCCAATGTAAAGCTTGACCACCTAATTTGTCGTATAAAGTTGCTACCATAACGTAATGGCCAAGTGGTAGTTTATCCTTTACAGCATTAAGCATTTGACCTCGAATGCGAATTAATAATGGAATTCGAGCCCATTTTACTCGATAGCGTTTTCGGCTTCGCAATACATCTGATGGTCTCAACGATCCGTAAATTAGCTTTACGCGACCTTCCTGTTTTTTTAATGTGTCGACTAAGTGACTTTCAGCTTGTCGGAATACATGTCCAATACGTCGTGCTCGTAATTGCATGGTTTCAGCATCTTGTCGATCCTTTTGCACTAATTCGGCATATCGTCGACGAGCTTCTTGTAGCACTCGATCTCGGGCAGATGCTTCTTGCTGTGCTAAGCGAATTTCTCGCTGTTGGTACAATTTGCTCTCTAGCTCAATCTGACGCAGTCGAGCTTCTTCGACTTGTTCTTCTCGCTGTTGTACTTCTTCAAGTGGTACAGTACCAACTATCACTTCAGCTTCAGGAATTACAACTTCAAACTCATCAAGATATTGTGGAATGACTCGATTCTTAAGCTGCTGTGACAACACGTCAATAATCGAATTTGCGTCGTAACGTCGAAGTGCGTCTTCTGTCTCGTCGACATCATTCCAAAACGAATCGTTATGTGTTTCAAATGCACTAATAACCACATTCTCTGCCTCATTTATTTGTAAGTTTTTACTTTGGTCATTTATATCCTCACTACTGCGCTTGATTAGCCGAGTGTACCCTGGCTCCATTGAGCTTGGTTGTCTTGCTGCGCGAAAATAACCAAGCTCTACATAACTACATACCATAAACAAACCAGTTTTACCAGTAATTTACAAATGCAGGTTTCATCCAATCAACACACTACTTTCGTCCCATGGCACGCGGGGCTCTCGGTGTCACGTGCCTCGAATGCGGTTGTCTGAATTTCAGCTCAACGCACGAAAAATGCGATCAATGTCGCTCAAAAGTGGTGACATTTCGACCGACAGTTCGGCGCCTATCATCTAGTAGCGGCATCATCAATGACCAGAACCGAAAATCTCCAGTTACGCGAGTGACTTCACCAAGTAAAAAGAGGAGGTACAATCAGATAAAGCACGACTCAAGAAAGGAAAGTGTGGTCAAGAGTACACAGGAAAAGAAAAAAAATGTGAAAGTCGCTATTAAGCTGCCGGATGTGATTGATCTTATCTCGGATGACGAGATTGATGATAACAAGGTGCACCAGGTCGCTGATAACAAGGTGCACCAGGTCGCTGAAGTGAGTGTCAAGATAGTGAAACAAGATAAAAAAGAGCAAAAAGCTGATGACACAGAGGATACTCAACTAATTGAAAGTCGTGTGTTTCCAATTGTGACGTTTGTGGAGCATGACTTTCCGTCCGTGGGAGAAGGAATGCAAATGAGAAAAAAAACGATCAAACAAACACCTTCGCTTATGACTTTAATGGATCAAAAAGTTAGAACGACCATTGGACAAGAAAAGGTTTCAAAGTCAATTTTGCGCTCAAGTGTCGCAGAGTCTCGATTGTCGAATGTAACTGGAGATCAGAAATCAATTGAGTCGAGGCATTCACCAATGATTTTGGATGTACAAAATGTGGAAGCAAAGGTACAGACACTAGGATTGACTGCCACTGCGTTAAATTATGATGGTAGAAACAATAATGGAACAAATTTTTTGTTAAGAGACAGCAATTTGAAGCTCGCTACCAATGTTGCGTCCACTAGTGCAAAAGATAAAGAAACAGACCACACTGACTTAAGCAAATTGGATCTTTTCTTTCAATCACGAGTATTTGACACTGTTGAATTCAAGGTCTCGGACTTTCGTACGGTATTTCATGGCTTGGCTTTAGCTAGGCGAAGTCATCCAAAGCCGCCATCATCAGACGTTTCTTTGTCAAGACATGTGAAGCCAGCAGCATGTTCAACCGTGAATTCTGTGATAGTTGAGGCAGAAGCAATGACGAATGATGTAGAAGTGCCATTTACAGAATCATCAATTCCATCGATTTCCACCGCAAACGGGGATTCGATCGCAGCAAGCGTAGAAAATCCGGCATCAAAGATTTTTACACCAACGGCAGAAACCGCAACAAACACATTGGCATCAGCCTGTCATGCAACAACATTAGAGCTGTTTTCTACGGCAGTGCAGTCTCTATCTGCAACGATATCTTCAGAACCAGAAGCAGCGATTGTGCCACTACAACCTTTTAAGGCTTCGAACACTCAGTCTCCACCTGACACATCAACGCTACTGACACCCCTAAAAAAGACATTATCACCCAATATTGCATCATCACCGAAGCAAACGAGCTCGCCTCCCGGCATGACAAAGTCTGCTGAATTGGCGCAAAACGAAGTCTCTGCATCGGTGCCTCCCAAATCGGTCCTGCCAACAAATGAACTGACGACAAAAACAGGGTCTCGACCAGTCAGATCTGTAGGTATTAATTTTATTTCTTCATCTGATGCTCGAAAAGATTCATCTGGATCTCAAACAAAAGCAAACCCGAGTTTAATTATAGCCAAGAGGAGGCGAATTGGTGACGAACAGCAGCGCAGAGTTGCAGAAAATCGAACATCACAAATCTCATCCATTGAGGCGAAAACATTAGGTGACACAAATAGTGTATCTGAATCTCATAGAGCAGCAAACCCAACTGTCCTGGTTGCTAAGAAAAGGCGCGTTGCAAACGTTTTGCAGCAAAGAGGTTTCGAGAAACAACTTTTACAATTTCCAGTTTCAAAAACGTTAGCTGAACCTGACAGTATTGGAGTTGTCAAGGACCATGCATCAGCTCTTAAAACTCTGCCAGTGGAGCCTCCTGTGCTAGGATATTGCCGTCCAGAATTTCTGGCTTTCATGCGTGTGTGTGGAGATGTTGGCGCAGATGAAGAGGTAAATTTTGAAAAATCGAGTCGTTCCCAGCTCCGACTCCTGGACGTGGTGGATCTTACGCATTTAAGTGATTCTGATGATAGCGATGAGCTGCCAAATCATCGTCATGAAATCAATTCGAACAGTCTTTTGAACATTGACGATGCTATAAATCTTACGTCAAATGGAAGCGTGTCTGACTCAAAGAAGTCGTACGTCCCGGCTATTGAGAGCGAGCGAAAGAGGACACAACCTGAAAGGGCCATTTGTGAATTGTGCGAAGAAAAGGTAGCGCGATATCGATTGATACAGTGTCCGAAGTGTACAAAATTCTACCATTTAAAGTGCGCGAAAGACAATGGCGATGAAAATGTTTGCTGGAATTGTGAACTTGGATCTTTGATCGACGACAGCGAGCTAGATGAAGAGCATGCAAAGCATACGAGTGAGTATTTAACGTATTTAAAGGCCCTACGTAATCAGTCGCCTCCAGGCACGGAGGACGAAAGTGATGATGATAGTGAACAAGGCGAAGATGATATTAACGTCGCAAATATTTCTGAGGAAGAAAAGGTTAGTACTGTGGCGGACGGAAATAATGCAAAAACAGCCGGCAAAATTTGGATGGAGTTTCTGGGGGACGTGACAGCTGACGTGGATGCTTCGTTTCATGAAATTACGAATCGTATTGCAGAAGAACTTCGTGATAAAGATAAAAAAAGCTTGTACTCGCGAGGCTTTGTGTCGCGAGAGGAGTTTGAGGCACAGATGAATGAAGTAGAAAACTACTATATCGGTGAAGAGGCGCGATTGCAGCAGTTGGAACGAGAAAAAGCTCTTGAAGCGAAAAAAGTCATAGAAGCGAGAATTGTGCAAGCAGAGGTGGAATTGGCTAATGGAGGGCAGCAACTTGCTATAACTGAGAATATTGATAGCAACGCACCTACCGTACCAGCGGCGGGTGACCAAAATGGTTCAAATACAAATATGATACCTCTGCCCGGTAATGATGTGATTAACTTCACGTCTGCACCATCTACCGCTAGTTTTTCGGTCCTATCACAAGCCGTAGTTCCAACAGCAAGTCCTGCATCTGCTCCTGCAGTTTCTACTGTACCCACAAGCGTCCCTACTGTCCCAACTGTCCCAACTGTAGCTCAACCAGCTACATGTAAGATATCAAGCACGAGATTAGCACCTCCAATATCAACACCGTAGGCACTTATAAACTCGTTTCAAAGTTTCTATCTAGCCCATGCGTCAAATACTTCTGTTAACATCGCATCAGGCAGCTCTAAATTATACACCACATCATTCACTCATCTGCATCTTGGCAAAGTCCTCTTTCATAAAGTTGAGCGCCTGAGCCACATCATCTACAACTTGATACGCCTTATGTATTTCATGATTTGCCGGGCCACTGTGCATGCCCGTGAGCGTCAATACGGATTTCCACCTACCGCCAGCGTCGTTTGCACCACAAATGTCTGTCGATGGATTATCTCCAATCATGTAAATACGAGCCACATTTTGATGTTGTCTGTCAATAAGCGTTTCAGCAAACTGAAACGAAGAGCGTTGAGGCTTTCCATACAGCGTCTTAACTAGCTTGTGACCGGTTGTGCGCGTGAACAGATCCTCTAGCATTGCGTGAAAGGCGCCTGCGCCGTAGCGTGGTAAATGAAATTCACCTACATACTGAAAGTCAGAGCATGCAGAATATAGAGGAACGTGTTGACGTTCTCCATTGCTGTCTCCGTCGATGGCGCGTAGACCAAAAAGTCCAGAGGGAGAGCACAGAATGTCCATAATTATTTGAAGCTCCCGTCCCCAATAAATTGGATCAATGAGAACGAAGACAGCAGCAAACGGCTGGGAATCAAAGCGTCCATTGTGAGCCAATGGCTCCCGGACCTTGATGTCTGGGTACATACTAGGAAAATGACAGTGTAGCTGGTCAACAGTAATAACGTGATTAAAGCCGTAGTTCGCCAGAACTGTGTGAAGTTCGTCACAGTCCTTTCCAACTACCAACACCAACTCGTCTCCATGCTTTAACGCTAACTCGCGCATGGGTGTGTGGCTCATGCACACGCGCTCGGCAGGAATTGACACTTTTCCGCCTAATATTGACTCAATTTGCCGCGCTTTCTTCGACTCGGGGTACCCTCCTCCGTTGGTCATGATAGCAAACGGAATTTTAGTCGCCTCCAGCTCCTCTAATACTTCACGCGCTCCTGGAATCGGCGTTTTTCCACGTAATAGTACACCATCTACGTCAAAAACTACTCCAAAAGTTGAGAATTGGCGATAGAAACGACTACAATTAGCGCGCATGGCGTTCATGACAAATGCTTTGATTATTGGTAATAATTCGTCTCTATAATTTCCTTAAATGCCTTCATTTGTTGCCATTATAAAAATACGTCAATCGTAGGAAATAGCTGACATACCTTTAATGTCGAGAGTGCCGCAATTCTGTGACTTCTTTGTGACCAAGCTTTACACGGATGCTATCATGCTTGATTCGTAGAATCGATTTTCTTAAGTCAAAGCATATCATTTGAGTTATGTCCTACTACAGCACAACGTAACGGTGTTGTTAGTTTGTGCATGTTTACCTCAATTACATGTTTGAAATTATTGGTCTAAACCAAATCAAGTCTGTTGCATAAAATGTCGTTCGATTTGTGCGCTAGAGGCACGTGTTTGCTATTTCTCTGTCAGACGCGTGTACGCCATCTATCGTGATTGCACACCTACACGACGATGAACGCATACCGTTTGTGTCTACAGCCCGATTATAGTATATAGTGTGTTGCTATGAAACGAGCTGCTGCATGATGACGTCGAATACACCTAACGACGTTTCACAAGTTGATATAGTCATATCAACTGCAACCAGCCGAGCTAGACCCAGACGCCATCAAACCGCTACTGTATTCTGAGTATGATCCCTGCAATTGCGTCATTTCCGTTTTCAAAATAATGCGGTTCAAGCTCTTCTCATGCATAATGCATTTGATTGAGACAAAGGGCGACAAGTAAAAGTTTTTTAGTGTAGTTCTGCACTTTAATACAGTGTATTTGATTTGTCTTGTGCAGCGGGGCTGCCGTAGCTTTGCGCCTTTAGTAAGCGTAAGTTAGGTCACCGACCTCTCGTTCTATACTCAGAACAAGTACGAGTTTAGCGGATAGCAATCCGCTTACTCCAAGAGTAAATATACCAAGAAGGCTAATAAACTCTTCAGTTTGAAATCAAAATTGACTTTATTTTTTTTTCTGCGGTAAAGCCGCCTAATTTGAAATGCATAGATTTTCCTGAATATGTATAGTAAAATCTAATAACATGTATAACTACTAGCTATCCAGCCCCGTACCGTATTTTTGTTTGGGTGTGGTAACACTATGCCCATCTGGTCTGACACAACCCCTGTTACCAGGAAAAGTGTAACCCCGTTACACTCTCCCCCATTAAGATCGAGGACATTTACAGTTCCAATCGATTATTGCCTCAACCAGGCTTGCGTGTCCGTTAGACTGCAACTTGGTTCGCTGAAA